GAGATGTGGTGCACTCCTGTAACCCCAGCTATGTGGGAGGCCAAAGCAAGAGAATCACGAATTTGAGGCCATTCTTGCAACTGGCTCAAAATAAAAAAAGGGATGTAGTTCTGTAGTAATGTGCTCCAGGTTCAATGCCTAGTACCACCAAACAAACCATCTGAGATGCTTGAGAAAGTAACTAGAAGATGTGACACCAGGCTCACACCCAGAAGTTACGAGTAGTAGGCTTCAACACTCTGTCCTCTCTGGACAGAGGGAACAGGAGCCCATCAGTTCCTGGTGCCCACTGCCTCCCACAGGATCTGCCTGGACTTACCACACCCACAAACACACATAACCCATAGATACATAACTGCTGTGCTGGAGTGCTCACCATGGGCTTGTCATAGAAGGGGAAACCCTGCATGGATCGCAGGGCATTGGTGGCGCTGCTGACCTCCTTGAAGATAACAAAGGCCTGACCTCTCATCTTGAGGCTCCGCGACACCAGAATATCCAGGATCTGGCCAAACTGGGAGAAAATGGCATACAGGGACTTCTTCAGCTCTGCAGTTAGGAAAAGAAAGAGCGGTCAGGAAAAGAAAGAGTGATGGAGAGCTTCTATTTTCAGAGAGGCACGGCCCAGGCGCAAGGCCAACTGATAAGGTACCCAGAATGCCACAGGCAGTAAACTCTGAAGACCCCCCAACAAGAGCAGCAGCCTGCCAAGGACCACTCAAGTGACTGAGTACGTTCTTCTACAAGAAGTGGACCTCACGACACCTGCCTGCTGAGCCGCCAGGAGGAACACGAATGCCCAGTGCACAGTGCTCCTTAAAGACAGGCACTTCTTTCCGTTGCCACTCACATCCTGACACAGGCCCTCTCAATGCCGTCCTGGTAAGTCTCCCAAACTCATGTCTGCCCAAACGCCAGTTCACCCCCAAGCCTCCAGTCACACTGGTCTCCCAGCCCTTTCTCAAGACAAACACCCATCTACCACCAGGCACCTGCACTAGCTGGAGAAAGAAACCACCTTCTCCAGATGTTTCCACGGATGCCTGCTTCTAGTCATTCAGGTCTCAACAGAAATGTCGCCACTTCCTAGAAGCCTTCTCTGACCCCCGTGTCAACACATCACTCTGTGTCCCTCCTCCTGCCCCTCATCTTATCCTATTTGCCTTTACTTCATGGCACTTTCCAACTCCTGACCYAATGTTTACTCACTGTCTTCACAGCTACAGGCCACTCTGAGTTGTTTGCTGTAGTCTCCCCATGCCTAGTTCGTCTAGCACACAAACATAGATGGGTAAAAATACCATATAATGTCGGGCATGATGGCACACGCCCGTGTGAAGCAGAAGGACGGCCCGTTCAAAGCCAGCCTTGGCAACTTAGAGAGGCCCTAAGCAACTAGCAAGACCCTGTCTCTAATTAATGTCGAAAAAAGGTCTGACTCAGTGGTTAAGTGGCCCCGGATTCAATCCCTGGTTCAAAAAAAAAAAAAAAAAAAAAAGCCAGGCACATGCCTGTAACCCCAGCAGCTTGGGAGGCTGAGGAAGGAGGATTGTGAGTTCAAAGCCAGCCTTGGCAAAAGCGAGGCACTTAGCAACTCAGTGAGACCCTGTCTCTAAATAAGATACAAAAATGGTCTGGGGATGTGGCTCAGTGCCCTGAGTTCAATCCCCGGTACCAAAATTAAAAATTAAAAAAAAAAAAAAAAAAAAAAAAGCCAGGCACATGCCTGTAACCCCAGCAGCTTGGGAGGCTGAGGAAGGAGGATTGTGAGTTCAAAGCCAGCCTTGGCAAAAGCGAGGCACTTAGCAACTCAGTGAGACCCTGTCTCTAAATAAGATACAAAAAAGAAGATACCACGAAATGTTACATGGAAATTACTTCATAAATCCTCACTAAAGAGCTGGGCGGGGGCTCAGTGGTACACCCTTGCCTACCATGTGGAAGGCACTGGGTTCAATTTAGCCCCTCATACAAATAAATACGGTAAAATAAAAATCCTTACAAAAATCCCACAAGGTAGCATCACTGACTTCCAATTTTACTAAGAAGAAACAGGCTCTCACAGGATCCAACACTGACAGTGCTGAGAACGTGACAGCACCAGCTCCACAACCCAATTCCATCTGAACCAGGTCCCCCAAACACCTCCCCAGCAAACTGTCTTGCTTTACAGCAAGTGGGACTTGAACAAAACACAGGAACCCTCTTGTGAAAACTGTAACAAGGTCTTAGGCAAAAAAAAAAAAGGTGCCAGAGACACAGCTGTGTGTGCGCTGGGGGAGACAAGGGTCACGGATGTTTTGAAGCAAATCTGCCAAAAATTCCCCTGGTGGGGGCATTTCTGGTTTTCCTCTCCATGTTCCATCCCCTGAGGCAGTCTAGACATCTGTCACTCCCCTGGCCTCTGGACTTTTCCCTCTTCTGCCTCTACTCCTGCCCATTCAAGTCTGCCTTCCAGGCAGGAAGACATTCTATAAGTGACACAACCAAGACAAGGAGCTGCCTAGCCTGGCTTCCCAACACCCTCAGAATAAAGTTCCACACCTCCCTCACCACGGCCACAAGCCCTGTAAGCCATCAGTGTGCCGCTCACTGGGAAGTTTCTCCAATATTCACAGGCCTCTAAGCCTAAGATCCAAACTACCTGTAATTCCCAGAATGCTTCAGGCTCTTTCACCCTAGACATTTGCACATCCTGGTGCAAATATGACACACTCTTCTATCTCATGGTAATATACATACCACTTCCTCTACCTGGAAAGTTCTTCCAAAATATTTCCTATCAAGCCAAATGAATCTACCTCTTTTCTAGGCTTCCAATCCCAGCTTTCCACTCTGCTTGTGCTTCCCACCCCCATAATGGCCCTCCCAACTTTGAGCTGTCAAAGACTAGTGATGCAGAACCAAGACTCCTGGTCACCAGTGAGTCCACAGCACTGTGCAGTACAGGCTGAGCATGACATTCTGAAAGTATACATGGAATTTACATTCCTAGGTGTTTTGAGAGAGAGAGAGAGAGAGAGACAGACAGAGAGTGTGTGTGTGTGTGTGTTGCTGAGGATTGAACCCAGGGCCTTGTGTATGTGAGGCAAGCACTCTACCAACTGAGCTATAAACCCCAGCCTCATTCCTAGGTTTTAGTGGGTTTTACAGCACTGGGGACTGAACCCAGAGGTAGACAAGTACTTCAAAGAGATTACATCCCTAGTCCTTTCTAAAAATTTGTTTTGAGTCAGGGCCTCACTAAATTGCTCAAGTTGACCTCAAACTTGTAATCCTCCTGCCCAAAGCCTCCAGAGTTGCTGAGATTATAGGCACGGACCACCACCCAGCCCTTGTTTTGGTTTAACAAAAATTTTATTGGTAATCTCTTATTAATCCCAGTGACATTCTTTGGTTCTCCTAAAATTTCTCTAGAAGTCATGAGGTTTTTTTTGTTTTTGTTGTTTGTACCAAGGATTTAACATTGCTGAGGCTGGTCTCAAACCTGGCAATCCTCCTGCCTCAGTTTCCCAAGTGGCTGGGATTACAGCGGTGTGCCACCCAAGTCCGTTTAATAACAGCTTTTATTCCACCCCCAAAAACTGCTGGGTACCATGAAATGAAGCACTACGCAAAGGTTTAGTTAATCTGATCCCAAAACATTCATTCAAAGAAAGTTATGATTTTGCCCAGTTTCCAGGTATAGGAAATAAGATTCAAAGAAGGTGAAAATTGGATGGGGGTTGTGATTCAGTGGCAGAAGGCTTGCCTTGCACATGTAAGGCACTGGGTTCCATCCTCAGCACCGCATAAAAATGAGTAAACAAAATAAAGATTAAAATAAATAAATAAAGGTGAAAATTTACTAAAGAAAGTGGAAGTGTCTTTCTGATTTCAAGAATTAATTCAGTCCTGGGCATGGTGGYGCACACCTGCAATCCCAGTGGCTCTGGAGTCCCAGTGGCTGAGACAGAAGGATGGTGAGTTCAAAACTAGCCTCGGCAAAAAGCAAGGCACTAAGCAACTCAGTGAGACCCTGTCTCTAAGAGGGGCTGGGATGGGGCTCAGTGGTCGAGTGCCCCTGAGTTCCATCCCTGGTTCCAAAAAAAAAAAAAAAAAAAACCCTAAATTCCTAGGCTGGGGTTGTGATTCAGTGGCAGAACACCTGCCTCACAAGTGTGAGGCACTGGGTTCAATCCTGGCACCACATAAAAACAAATAAAGGCACGGAGTCCATACACAACTAAAAAAATATTTTAAAAAACAAAGTTAACTCTCACTTTCCCAGTCTCAGAAATGGGAATGACAGTAGTGCCCTCCTACAGGTCTATTTTGAAATTTAAAAATAATTAAGAATYACACAAGTACATAAATTAGTCCCTGGTTCAGAGTGTTAACCATCACTAATATATATTTCCACAAATGACCAAGACAACCTCAGTATCAGCCCTTACAGAGCTTACAGGCCAGAGGGAAGACAGCATGACTGTAGAGTGATCCTGGCTTGAGTGGGCATACCCAGGACCTATGGGAAATCAGTGGCAGCCACGTGATGGGAGAGTGGATCCAGGAGGGCTTCCTGGAGGGGGAGTCCTGTAAGCTAAAATCTTAAAGGATTATCAAGAGCGACCGGTTACAGGGAAGAGTGTTAGATGTATGCAGAAGACACAGGAAGCAGTATGTAGAAAGACCACGGAGTTAACTTATTCGTTTGTCTGAAGAAGACGGAGAAAGAGAAGCAGGTACTTGAGGTGGAAAGGGACCAGCTCATGCGCCATAGACCATGGTCCAGCGCATCGCGAGCACTCACCATCCTTCTTGATCTTCTCATTGAGGTTGTTGATATAAATAGTGTGGTTGGGGCGGGTCTCGGGAACTGCCATGGAGAGAGGTACCGAGGTACGGCTTAAAGAAGGAAAAAGGTGAGTTAAGACTTGGGTTTTTCCAAATCTTTTCTCCCGAACGGAGAGAAAAGACTCTATTCAGGGATCTTCCTTCCAAGAGGAAGTCAGGTAAGACAGGAGTTGGGGGGTGAAGGCACAGCTTGGGCAACAATGCGAGCCAGGGATTCCGCTCCTCCAGCCCGCGTGCTGAGAGAAATCTCGAGAAATTTACTACGAATCCCGGGATGCTCTACGCGGCCCGGCAGGCGGAGCGTCCCAAGTGGCAATTCCCATTGGCTCACGCACCCAAAGGACGGTCCGAGGGGAAACCCGGATGTAAGAGCCAGTTTAAGAAAGCAGGGAAGCTTTCAGACATCCTGGCCTCGCACAGCGACAACGCTTCCCCAACCGAGGTGCGGGAAATACCGGACGCCAAGTGCTCCGCCCGCCTTCCTGGCGCCAATAGCCGCTTGGGCCCGAAAAAACTTACCGACAGGGCCTCAAGTCCCCCAAGTGGCGCCAGGTACGTTCTTCAAACCAGACCACAAAGATTCCTCTTCTGGCTCCGCCTTTCCTTTTATGCAATCCAATCCCTGCCGGGAAATTCAGTAGTTCGACCAATCGGAGGAAGCGTCGTCCCTGGGCCCTGAACTTGCCAATCAAAACCACACTTGGGTTCCCGCCTCAACAGAAAAGTCCCGCCCCTCTGCAAGGAGAGCCTACAGGCCAATCAGCGAACGTCACGAGCTTTTTGCCAATCGGGACGCGGCTCGTGCCCTAGTCTCTTCCGGAGGCAGTCCTTTGAAAGTCCCACCTCTTCCCTACAGCCGCGTGTCTTCTGTCACGTGATCACCAAAGGGGTGGGCACGCGCCGCGCGTTTTGCCCTACGACACAGGAAAGGCTGTGTGCGCGGAGGACRCCATTTCGCGCACAAGGAGACGAATTTTGCTTCCCAGACGCCATTCCCTATCCCAGCGATATCACGACTCCGTCGGGCCACCGATCTCAGCCTTCTCCTCAACTTACGGACTTTGCTAATTGTTGATTCCAGGACCTTCCCTGCACTAGACCATTTTCCCTACCCAGTGTCTGATTTGACCTCTTGACCTCTGGCTCAAAGGTCAGCTCCAAACTTCTGAACTCGGGCTTGGGATGTGAGGGGGGACAGAGTCTTAATTCCTCCATTCTCTAGCCCCAGGTTCTAGGTCTCACCGTGCAGGCGCCCCATATCTCAAGATTGACCCAGGAATTCCTTATCCAGTCCCAGAGAATAAAATAATGCATGCAYGTTTTCCCTTAATAAGTCTCGAAATGCAGCCCAACCCACCTCAGTTCCATGCCATAAATCTGTTTCTGGATTTATGAACCCCACTCTGTTGACCCTCAGTTAACCTCAGGGCTTAAATCAACCCTGGTTCTTCCTCCCATGGTTCCAGGTTTTAGCCCTGATCTTTTCCGACCTGCTGCTCAGCTCCCAGATTCTGGAACTCAGTTCTAAAACCTTTCAAATCTAGAATCCTTTTGGAGGATCCTCCTCTCTTCCATTCTCYACCCCTCAGCCCATCTTATAGACCCCAAAATGACTTCTCCATGCTCCTCTTCCCTAGAACCCTCAATCCCTTTTCGAAGATCTCCTGAACCTCAAGCCCCCATCGTCCCAACTCCTCCCCTACCTCCCAGTCCCTTGAACTTGGCCTTTCTACCCCAACCTTGTAGTCTCCAGTCCCATATACCCCCACCACCCCCGCTGCCTCCTCCACCTCCTGCCACTAGGGATGCTCCCCCCCACGTCTACGGCCTGGAGAAGAGCCAGCTCCTGAAGGAGGCCTTGGAGAAGGCGGGCCCAGTCCCCACMGGCAGAGAAGATGTAAAGAGGCTCCTGAGGCTGCACAAGGACCGGTAGGGTCTTCCAGCCCCTCCCTGCCCACCCAGGGTCTGACCAAACCACCTGTCCCTTCACCCATCTCCTCTCCAGTTTTCCCATTTCTCATGGTTCTAGTTCCCTGCCTAGGCCCTTCAGCAGTGGTGCGCCCCCCCCTACAGTGAAGAAAGCTGCTCTCAAACGTGCCTACTTCAGAGGCAGAACTTTCCACAGCCTGGAATGGTCAGGGCTGTGATGACAGAGCCTAAAGACACTGCCTGACCCAGGCTGAGAGGTCACTGGGGGGCTTCTGGAGGGGGGGAACCCCAGCATAGCTGAGCAAGTCAGGTAGGAAGGATGTGATGAGAGTGTACTGCTTGGGCAGAGGCCCAGAGTTAAATGAGGACATGTTCTTTTTCAGTCAGGTACTGCAAATGCTCCTTAACCAGACAGACACAGGGCAGAGATGGGCCTGGGAAGGTGGGCGAACCAGCTCACATGGGATATGGTGGGCCTTGTGAAGGGAGTTGGACTTTCCAGGACACTAGGGAGACAAGGAGAGGCTTTGCCTCATGAGAAGAGTTCAGGGTCCCAGGGAGCATCCAGGGACTCTGACAGTAGGGAGGGAAGGGGGCTAGACATTTCCTAGGGACATGACTTAGAAAAGAGAAAAAAGAATTTGCCCAGATGCACAAAGGAACTCCTGAACTCTCCAGCCCTTTCTAACCAAGCCACTGTGAGGCAAGTTGAATGCAAAAATTGCTTGTCAGTGCATGTGCGTGATTAGTATGTATCAGATATTATTGTGTTTTTAAGTATTAAGTTACTGTGATTCTCAGCAACCCCATAAGAACATCTCATTTCCAAGAAAACTGAGGTTTATAGTGGTGAAGTCACTTAGCCACAGTGCAAAGAGAAAGKCCCCTTTGAACTTTGGCAGGGGGTGTGGTCCTTCTAACCACCCTGCTGTGGTGTCATTCCCCTTTGCCAGGAGACATCCATACTGGGAACCAGGGTGGGGCTGGTCAGGCCTGCAAAGATTGATTATCAAGGTGATCTCTTAGGCCTTAAGCTTGTTGTTACCTGGTTTTATTCAAGGATGAATTTAGAGATTTTCATCTTGACTTTCACCTTGTTTAACAGACTTTAAGAAAAAGAAAATATCACAGAATTTTGGTATAAGACACCTCTTTTGAGATATTYCCTCAAATCTTTCTGACTCCTAGTTGCCTCACATCTGCTCTTTGCCCTTCAACTCTAGGGTGAAGGCAGGGAGCAGGCAAAAGAACAATTCCCCCCAAACAGATGAGGAAACTGAGGCTCAGTGAAATTAAGTGCCTCATCAGGATAGAAGGAAGTCAGTAACTGAGCCAGGATCAGCCCTTRGGCCTTGTTCCTTGTGTTCCCTTCCCTGTCCACCTGTTGCCAGCTGGACCTCAAGGGGAACCCTCAGAGCTATTCCCTTGTGACCTTCATTTGGCTCTACTTCAGGTTCCGKAGTGACTTGCAGTGGATCCTCTTCTGTCGTGACCTGCCCTCCCTCATCCAAGAAGGCCCTCAGTAAGTGCCCCATTGTGGGACCTGCCCTGGTTCTGCCCTCCCTGGGTTTCCTGAGGACTCACCTGGGAGTATGGAAGACTCCCGGCTTGGAGAGGAGAGGGAGAGGAGAATGTTGCCCTGCAGGGCCTGGGGCGTGCTTAGTGAACAGTGGAACACACAAGCGAGTGAGCTCCARTTGAGGGAACAAATGAACCTGGTTCATTGGTCTGATTCTACTTTGGCCCCTATTCCCAATAAGCCTCCTTGACCTCTGTCCCCACCCTCTAGCCCTGGGCTTAGGCCTGGGCCATCCTCTGTCATAACAGGGAATCGGGTATCCTCGCCTGGCCTGGGAAGGGGAAGGAGAGCTCCCCCAGCAAACCTGCTCCCCACTCTTGCTCCAGGGGTAAAGGGAGCCGAGTAATGGCATGAAGTAAGGGTTGAGGGTCAAGACCTGTCTCTTCCAGATGTGGGTTGGTGGCTTTGTGGATGGCAGGCACTCTCCTATCACCCCCCAGCGGCATCCCCCTGGAGAGGCTGGTGCAGGTAGCCAAGGAGAGAGGCTACACTGCCCAGGGAGAGATGTTTTCTGGTGAGTTGGGTAGGGAAGGGTCCCAAGCCCCGGGCTTCGTTGGCTTTCCCTAGGAAGGAACCAAGAGGTTGGTGGGTTGCAGTAGGCACGTGTGAGGAGGGTCTCATTCCATTTCCCGGGTCTGTCTCTTTGCCTTCTGCCACCTCCTCACCATGACCATGAACATGGGGCTGACTCCCTTTCTGGATTTGTGCCTCAGAGCAGATGGGCATGGTSAGGGATAGAAACATGGGTCTTGTTAACAGGGGGCCGGGCACGTGCTAAGCCATCTCTGTATGTGCTCTCACCTACAGTGGCAGATATGGGCAGGCTGGCCCAGGAGACATTGAGCTGTCAAACCGAGCTGCTCTGTGGCGGCCTGGGTGGTCCCAACAGAGACCTTGTCCTGCGGCACCTTATCACTGGATATCCCCTGCTTATCCCGTATCCCAGGGTCTAGGAGTGAGCAGGGCAAGTATGGCAAGGGTGGGTCCCAGGACCGGCCCATGGTTTTGGCCTTAACACCGGCTCCAGCTACGATGAGGACTTCAACCACGAACCATGTCAGAAGAAGGGCCACAAGGCCCACTGGGCAGTGTGTGCAGGTGAGTGTCCCCTCCTTTGCCCCGTGCCCCTCCCCCTGCATCTTCCCGGCCCATTAACCCTCTCACATTCTCCCTCCTGTGCTGACACCTACACAGCCAGGCCATGCTCTCACATCATGGACCAGAACTGGGCCACCCATCCCCACTGGGTTCTGAGTACAAGACCTGGCAGATAGCAGGTGCTTCAGACGGCTGGCCGTTGGGATTTCCACAAACAGGAACTCAAAGAGTGCAGACTCAAGGGTCAGACATCCTGGGCTCTGGGCCCAGCCCAGCCACTTCTAGGCTTTGTGACTCTGGGCAAGTTTCTTCACCTCTCTGGGGCTCTGTTTTCCATCTATAAATTGGTGACTGTAGAACCTACCTCATAAGGCATCTTTATAGGAAGGCCACCTAAAACTCAAGAGTAGCACTTGGCAGTCTCAGTAAATGTCACCATTATTGTCATCACCATTCCATTTGCGTGAAAGACCAGATTTGTGCATGTCAGGACGCCAAGATCAAGGATATGCTGGGCCTCTTCATGACTCTGTGGCCTTGAGACCTTCTCTCTCTGAACCTATCTTTCCCAGACAGCTGGAGATGATGGTGTTTCCTCTGTCAAGTGCTACCATGCCACCTGCCCTGAGCTTGTGGGAAGTGGGACTTAAARTGTCTGCAGCTTTGAAGCCAAGTGCCTTGGGTCTCAATCCAGCTCACTGGTGTGCCCACTGTTCTCCATTCCCTGTTACGTGGGGATTGAGGCWGCACATTCCTTGGAGGGTTGGAGGGAGAAGAAATCAGGGCATTGCCTTTCATCTCTTCATATCCCCCAGGGGTACTGCTGGGTGTGCAGAGTGTGCCAAGCCTCGGCTACACAGAGGACCCTGAGCTGCCTGGCCTTTTCCATCCCAAGCCTGGTGTACCCTGCCRGCCACCATCCATGCCAGAAGAAGGCTTCCCGGGAGCTGTCTTCCTTCTCTCCAAGCAGGGCAAGAGTTGGCACTACCAGCTGTGGGACTATGACCAAGTCCGGGATAGCAACCTACAGCTGACAGACTTCTCACCCTCAAGGGCTACTGAYGGACTGGTGTATGTGGTGCCCACTGGTGGGGTGCGGGCTGGCCTCTGTGGCCAGGCCCTGCTGCTCAGACCACGAGAGTCCAGCAATTAGCTGGGGTGTGGGTGCCTGACTGCCCCTTGGATCTGTCACCATTTGAAGAGTGCCCCAACTTCTCTTTCTGTGTGATACCTAAAGGTCTGGGCTGAATCTCTGAGAGCTTTCCACCTAGAGATCCTTCATCAGGGTCCCCCCACCCTTCCCATTCAAGCCTGGACATTGTCCCAAGTTCAAGCCCAAGCCTGTCTCTTCCAGATCAAATACCCATTGATTCCTATCTCCAGATCCTGTGWCCTGCACAGCCCACCTGAGTGTGCCATCCACCTCCTTCTCTCCAAGGACTACATTTTCTAAGCCACCATGACCTTGCTGGACATCTGCAGGAGCCTCCTTCCTGGACCCTTCTGCCCCGCTTCTGCTCACAGAACAGAAACTAAATGCTTCCCACTCAGCTCCCCTCTGCTTGTCCTAGGCTGTTCCTCATGCTCTGCCTACTGGCCTTACTGGTCTTTCAAGTCCCTAGAGTGTTAGGTACCACTTCCTCAGGGGACAGTCCCAGGACCTAGGCTAGGTGCCTACCCTGTCTTCTGGGTATTTCAAGTCCCATCTGAGAGCACGTAGGTCTGCCAACCCCCTCACCCGTGTTAATTCACAGGTTCTCCGGCCCTGTAAGGGAAGTACTTAGATTCCCTGTCTTAGCCCATTTTACACAAAATACTTGAAACCTTTGCAAAGAATAGGTTKTATTTGGCACTCTAGAGTGCTGGGAAGTCCAAGAGTGTGGCTGGCACCTGGGTAAGAGCCTTCTTGCTCCTTTTTTTTGGTACCAAGGATCAAACCCAGGGGCATTTAACCACGAAGCCACATCCCAGCCTTTTTTGTTCTTTATTTTGAGACAAGGTCTCACTAAGTTGCTTAGGGTCTTGCTAAGTAGCTGGGGCTGGCTTTGAACTTAGGATCCTTCTGCCTCAACCTTCCAGGTCTCTGGGATTATAGGCGTGCACCACCACAACAGGCTCCTTGCTCTTAAAGAAACAAGGTAGAGGGCATAGTACAGCAAGACAGAGCAAGCTCAGCTCAGGTTTCTCTTCCTCTTATAAAGCTGCTGCTGCTCTCGGGGGGGCCTCAAGATCTCATCTAATTCCAATTATCTCTTAAAGGACCCACCTGCAGATGCCATTAACAGGAATTTGRGGATGAGGTTTCTCACACATGAACTTAGGAGGGATATATTCAAATCATAGCAAATCTTCCTCCCCAGTTTGACATATACCCTGAGGCCTGAAGAAGTGGAGTCACTAACCCCAAAACTCACATGGCTGGCAAGTGGCAGAATCAAGATTCAAAACAGGTAGCCACCAGTTAAGCTGCCTCATAGCTCTCTGAACCTCATGGTGGTGCTGACCACAAACTAGTCTTTCCATCTATTGGTACAAACATACATGAGTGAGTGAGAGCTGTGATTTTTGGGGGACCGGGGGGGGGGCACTGCACCACTCATTTACCTCCTCAGCCCCCTTTTTTTTTTTAAGTTGTAGTTGGACACAATACCTTTATTTTATTAATATTTTTTATGTGGTGCTGAGGATCGAACCCAGGACCTTGAACGTGCTAGGTGAGCACTCTACCTCCGAGCCACAATCCCAGCCCAATCTCCAACCCTTTTTATTTTTTGTTTTGTGACAGGGTCTTGCCGAGTTGCTAGACTGGCAATTCTGCCTCCGCCTCCCGAGTCACTGGGATTACGGGTRTGCACCACCTAGTGTTATGATTCTTAGGTTAGTGAAAACCTATTATCTCCACTCTGAAAGGGAAGAACTGCAGTGTCCCTGCAGCACCCAGCAAAGTCACTTAGGGAAACTACAGTGCAGTGTTTCCAACCAGGGAATGGGATAAAGAAGAGGTGCATTCCCATCCCAGCCTGATATTTTGGTTGGCACTGTCCCTCTAGTGGCCTGTCCTGGGAGCCCCTGAGAGCAGAGCTGGGAGCTGTTTTCATCACCACTGTGTCCCCAGTATTGTCCAGCATAGAGCCAGGCATAAGAACAGCACTGAGTGGATGAACCAGCTGACCCAGAGCCTGCCTCTGTCCCAAAGTGTTCATTACCCCACCCAGCACTATGCTCAGAGTGTGTGGATTTGAGCCYACACTCCCAGATACAAAGAAGAATACCACAGCATTTACTTTGTCCTGTTTATTGGGGTGTTGTCATGGGTGGGAGGCAGGGTAAAGCCATTTTGCCTCCTAACAACTACCACATGTATAAATAAGTATAAAGATGGTCAGTAGAAAAGGAGGACCAACCTCAGCCATGGAAGACATTAGGGCTCCAGCTTAGGAAGAGGTAGGTACCTGTCCTCCACATGCCCATCCTCATAGGCCAGGAAACCAAAGTCACAGGTGCTGGGGCACTGGGACATGAGCTGTCTGCAGTACCCCAGGACTCTGGAGTCTTTGGTTTTGACCAAATTACAAACCCAAGGTCATGCCAGAAGCTGCACCACCTTGTGCTTCTGGGCCAACCTGGTGCTTCACTGGGTTGGGGGCTGGATTGGGTAAAGTCCCTGTGGAGCAAGGCAGCACTTATTCCCAAGGAGGAAACTCACTTCCTGTTGCTGCAGTCCACTAGAGGGAAGGAAACAGARAAGCCCAGAGATACGGGCAGGAGGAGAAGGAAGTCCTGAAGCTGGATCTGGTGCACCAAGGAACAAGGTTGTGCTGGTCACAGTGCTGGCACACAGGCTAGATGTGGCTGTGGTTTGGGTCTGCAGCAGGTTGGCAGAATTGATTTGAGGAATAGGGAGGATCCCACAGTGTCCAYGGCAAGGCAGGATAGGTAAGCTGCCCCACCCAGCAGTATCAGCCCTAGGGCAGCATCAGCAGATGTCCCGTGGTGTCACACCTTTGGCCTCTTAGCACTTGGATGACTTCCAGATAGAYATTGGGCCATCACTCCCTCAAATGGACAGGCAAATCCTGTACTTCATAAGTGATTTCCTGGCTCTCAAAGGCACCAAAGACGAACCTGACCAGGTCCAGGGCTCGGAGCCAGCTGGGAGCATGAGGAGGTTGACAAGGAGGCAGTTACAGGTCACTCACATGGCCATGTGCACTGTCATGCCTGTACCCTTTGATGACTGATGTGATCTCAGGCAGTGTGGCATAGCTGTGACCTCTGGCATCCCCTGGGAAGACACCTTGGCTAGTCAGGGGATCTGGTTCTGGTTCTGTTGACTCACCATGACCCTAACTGGTCACATTCCTCACATTGCAGGGAAGCCAGGTGCTGCCTGGTCTCCCAGGGCCCTTCAGACCTTCTACACTGGTCTTGCGCTACAATATAACCTCTCCCATCGCCAACCTCAGGCCCACTCAGCATCTTGGGGGCTTCTCCAGCCACACTGGCACCATCCAGTAAACCTGGCAGCCTTGGGTGGGTCAACTCTGGGTGAGCCCCTGAAGGAGATGGATCAAGTTGTCCAGGCCCCAGAGATAGCCGTCCTCCCGGTTGCCTTCAGTCCAGGGCAGCCTGTGGCTGAGCGTCTGGTGGTCAGGGAGAGCCACTGTCTTGCCAAAGTCTATCATCCAGACCTTGGCCAGGCCAGTGTGGTCGTGCACAAAGAGGAGGGAGCTGCCCACTACCTGCAGGGGAGAGAAGACAATTARCTGGAAGGAGCAGGCACTGCCCGGGGTCTGTTCCCTGCTAGCAGCAGAACAGGGTGATGACAGTATGAAACCCKGAGCCAGGCTGTCAGAATTCAAAGCCCGGCTCCACTCCTTACTGGCTGTGCTCCCTTAGGCAGTTTTTTTTTCTTTTGTTTCTTTTTAAGTTATATATGGACACAAWATTTTATTTATTTTTATCTGGTGCTGAGGAGCGAACCCAGTGCCCCATACATGCAAGGCAAGCGCTCTGCCACTGAGCCATAATTCCAGCCCCTTGGGCAGATATTTTAACCCTCTGTGGCTGCTTCCTCATACAAAATGAGAGTAATTGCATTTGTCTCAGAGACTGCTGTACATTCACACCTGTGTATACATATTTCACATATATATGTCTATATGAACATACGGGGTACACTGCAATCTGAGGAAAATKAAGAAAAACTGGAAATCCCAATTTTGGCATGAAGTCCTACATCTTAAAGTGTGGCAACTCTGTTTTTAAAATGTTAAATCACCAGGCAAGGGAAACCAAACACAAGGACAGAAGAGATGGGGTGCCCACAGCTCCTCTTTGTGACTTCTGTGTAAAGCCTAAAGGCAGTGACAAGAACAAGGGTGACATTTGATAAACAAACATGACAATGACAGCTGGCACATACTGATGGTTTACTATGGGYGGGGCTCCAGTGTATTAGCCCATTTAACGTGTGCAACATCTACGTGGCAGTGCTGCTGTAACTAATCCCATAGGTAGGGTCACTGAGGCCTCCAAGAATGGCTGCCYAGGCAGAGGCGCCTCAGGAGCTGGGATCTGAACTGGAGTCAGCCTGACTCCCAGATCAGTGCTCCCTCAGCAGAGTCAGGGATGCTAGGAGAGGTGAGCAGGGTGGGAGGGGCAGACCCAAGAGCTGGAGAGAGGAAAGGATGCACATGGGTGATGCCACCACTTAACAGACTTCCCAGCACAGCCTCAGAGGATCCCTGTATCTCGAGAGAGAGGGGCTGRGAGCCAGGAGGAGGGCAAGAGCTACCACACAAGGAGGCATAAATAACAACTGTGGAAAACTGTSACACCGGCTGGGGCTGGGGCTCCRTGGTAGAGCACTTGCCTAGCATGTGTAAGGCACTGGGTTTGATACTCAGCACTGCATATAAATAAATATATAAAAATAGAAGTACTGTGTCCATCCACAACTAAATATATATATATTTTTATTGTAAATGGACACATTAACTTTATTTTATTTATTTATTTTTATGTGGTGCTGAGGATTGAACCCAGTGCCTCACACATGCAAGGCATGCCCTCTGCCACTGAGCCACAATCCCAACCTAAAAAAAAAAATATATATATATATATATATAAAAAGAAAACTGTGACATCAACTGATGGTAAGAACAAGGAATTACATGCCTTTTTATGTCCCAAACCTATGGTATTCTCACACCTTCACAGCCCTGGGAGGAAAGTACTAGTGTTCCTGCCCATCTTGAAGAGGAGGAAACTGAAGCCTAAGAGTGTCAGTCAGTGGCCAGGGTCACACAGCAGAGACAGCCTTCATCTCCAGGCCACCTGAGAAGTCCATGCTCCTCACTGTCCCACCTCCTGAAATCCCCTTTCCTGGGTCCCAATGTGGGGACCTCCCTTTTATAACTTTGTCCTTCATGCCCGGACCCCAGTACCCCCAAGCCTACRTCAGCCAGGGCTCGCACCTCATGGGTCTTGAAGAAGGGAGAGTTCTCCAGAGCTTCTCGAAGTTCTTCTAGGCGTGTCACGTACTTTTTCTGAGTGTGAAAGGAAGAGTGCCTTGGTTAGCACAGAAACTCTGTGAGCCCTTTGTGAGCCATCTTGAAATCTGACCTCGTCCTGTACCCTCAAAGGAATGGACACACTCTAGCCAGCAGGCAATACAGAGTGCCCTGGGGAAATGGGGTGGGGGCAGGGGATGGAATGCGTTAAGGTGGCACAGACAAGAGCGAGGCAGGTGACRTGAATACCCATGAATTCCAAGAGGTAGAGTCATATTTTCTCCTTCCCTTGGAGCGAGGCTTGATTCTATGATATGACCAGCTTTGGCCAATGCAACATGGCCATCTGACACCAGGCATCAAGAGGCCTTGTACTTTTCTCATTGTCTTAGCTCCCTACTTCCAAGGAGAGAGGCAGCCACAGATGCCAAGTCCACAGCTAAAACAGAGGCCAGGCCACTGGGCAAGCTGGCCTCAGCCAAGCTACTGGCTCACCGCACTCTGTGATCAAAGCTGGGCAGGATCACCAAACCCAGCCAAAGCCAATATACTTCGGCACATGGGCATCCCACTCACCAGGATTCCATGGTCCCTGTCCACAAAGTCCTCCAGCACCTTTGTCACCTGCTCCACTGCCTGTGTCTTCTTGAAGTTGGTGTTGCAGGTGCCATCAGCTTTCTGCAGGGCAAGGGGTAAAGGGGCACCGTCAAGCTGTTTTCCTGCCCACCCCAGACACAAAGTGACCTCAGGCACCTCCCTGGCTACCAGCCTGCCTCCACGCCTGCCTGATGTTTGGGAAAAACCAGCCAATACAGCCCAGCCCCAGGTCACTCTCCCAAGCAATCTGTCTTTCTAAGTCTAACCTTGAACCTCTTGGTTGAGCCAGTCTGACAAAGAGGAAGGGATCCAGGGTCATGAACCTGCCACTGCCTAGCTGGGTGGTCTTAAGCAAGTTAGTTCACCTGCRTCAGCACTGGACTCCTCATCTAGAAAATGGGAATTGTGTTGCAATCTACTTCCTAAAGCTGATGTAAGAATTAGAGGGGACTGGATGTGAGCACATAGCCTGCAATAAATGAGGCAATTGTTACTTTTCATATTTGAGAGGGTCACAGAGAAGACACACTGAGGCACATTCTACCACACAGCCAGGTGCTACATGGGCACTGCTACATGAAGGTGAGAGGGCAGACAAAGATGAAGGAATCAGTCAATGGTATCAAAACAAAGAAAGAATATTCAAGGTGAGCTGGGTGCAGTGGCTCACACCTGTAACCCAGCTCCTCAGGAGGCTAAGACAGGAGGATCAAAAGTTCAAGGCCAGCCTCAACAACTTAGTGAGGCCCTATCTCAAAGAATTTTTTAAAAAATGGCTGGGGATGTAGCTTAGTGGTAAAGCACCCCTGGGTTCAATTCCTGGTACCAAAAAAAGAAAGTGTAGCCAGGCACAGCAGCACATTCCTGTAATCCCAGTGACTTGGGAGGATGAGGCAGGATTGTAAGTTTGAGGCCAGACTGGGCAACTTAGCAAGACCCTGTCTCAAAATTTAAAAAATAAATAAAAAGGGCTGGGGATGTGGTTTAGTGGTAGAGCACACCTCAGTCCAACCTACAGAACTGCAAAAAAGAAAAAAGAATAAGGAAGGAGTATAGGTAGCTAAGAGAMGGTAAAAAGGGGACCCTGATGTAGTGGGATGGAAATTAGTGAGGGCCTCTCTGAGGAAGTAAAAATTAAAAGAATACAGAAAAATGATGGAGAGTCAACCAGGGAACCAAGAGAGAGAACAGGGCTGGGATGTAGCTCAGTGGCAAAGSACTTTTCTCATACATGCGAAGCCCTGGGTTTAATCCCAGTTCCAAAACAAAAAGGAAAGACAAAACAACAGAGGGAACAGCATTTCTGGCAGAAGGAACAGCATGTACAGAGTCCCCATGGCAGGAAAAAGCAGGACCATTTCAAGGAAATGAAAGCACTTCCCTGTGGCCTGAAGACAGATAAAGAGGAMGAGAGAGTTAAGAGATTCAGTGTAGACCCAGAGAACACTCTGGCCATGGCACTTCTGAGGTACTCAGAAGCCATGGAATGGTTTTGAACAGAAGGATGGTGAGGTCATATTTGTAACTTAGAAAGGCAGCTCAGGCCAGAGGAAGCACAGCAACAGTAAAAGGARTTTTGTCATCTCTAGCAAAATTATCAATGTGTCTAATCTTTGACCCAACAGTCCTACTTCCAGAAACCTAGTCTGTAGTTAAATCTACATATCTGCAAAATGTCTTATGTACAAAGTGATTCATCAAGGCATTGTAACGACAAACATGGAAACAATCTGGTGTCCACTTATGGAAACCATGGCACATGCACAAAGAGAATTACCCAGCTATAAAAAGGGAAGGAGCAGGGAAGGGGAGACTCTCTATGGGATGATACAGAAAACTCCCCAGGATTTTTTTTTCTTAATATCCTATCTATCTATCTATCTATCTATCTATCTATCTATCTATTTAATGTAGTGCTGAGGATCGAACCCAGTGCCTCATACATGTGAGGCAGGTGCTCTACCACTGAGCCCCAGCCCAGCCCCAACTTCCCAGGGTATCATTACTGTTAAGGGGAAAAAGCAGAGCGCTAATCAGTGTGTGGACAGAGGAAAATTTTGGATATACAATTTATTTGAATTTTCAGGAAGAACTATAGAAACTGACAAAGTGGTTCTGCATAAGCAGGTGGGAGAGCGGACCGACAGGAGGAGCACAGCAAAGAGCTGTAAGAGAGGGTTCTCCCTGTAGGCTCTTCTGAACTATGTGAACAGCTATTCAAACGATTCATTTAAAAAAGCAAAAATAGGAATGCATGAGGAAAAAGGAAAAACCTTCATAGCAGAGGAGAAAGGATCCCTCTGGCGATTGTGTTGGACAACAGATCACGGCTGGCCAGACCAGGGCCAGGAGCCCAGCAAGGCTAGGGCAGAAGAAAACGGGTCTAGACTTGAACATGGCCATGGGAAGGGAGAGAAAAYGGCATCTAAGACGCTCAAGGAGGCAGATACACAAAACGGGCTCCGGTGGATGCAGGGACCAGGGAGAAGTGGGGCCTCATCCAGGGCTGATCTTTCCATCCTCTGAAGTTCCCTGTTCTCTCTCCAGATCTGCTTCTTTCCTGAGTCCCCTGACACCCAGGTTCCCTAAGAATCCAGCCTCAGATCTTGTTCTAGGCCCGCTAGTGACAGGCCAGCCATCTCCTGGCCCTCACCTTGATGCCTTCGATTCGGAAGCCCAGGGTGGAAGTTGAGCTCATGGTTTCCCTCCACTGCATGTAGCGGGGCTTGGTGACCGCGCCCTGGGCATGCTCCTCAGGGGTGGGGGCCCCAGGGTCCACAGCCACCATCTTCTCATACATGTCCTTTCGGGGCCGGGGCCGTTCTCGCGCCTTCACCAACTCCTCTTCCAGGTAGGTCCTGAGCACAGAGAGGATGTGGCAAAGGAAATCATGAAGCACAGAGTGGGAGCTCACACTCCTGATATTAAGACAGCGTGGCCCAAGACCGAACGAAAAAATGGACAGGACAGAACAAGTCCACAAACAGACACACGCACATATTCACCCAGTTTATGAAAGAAGCCACAGCAATTTAGTGGGAAAAGGGAAGTCCCTGTAATTAACGGTGCTGGGTCAACAGAATGTCCACATTCTAAAAATGATGAACCCCAGCTTCTGCCTCACACCACACAGACATTAACTCTAGATGGATTGCAGCTCTAAATGTGAAAGTTAAAAACAATAAAGCTTGCAGAAGACAGGAGAATATCTTCATGAGGATCTCAAGTCACCTGTAATCCCAACAAGTTAGAATGCTGAGGTGGGAGGATCACAAATTCAAGGCCAGCCTCAGAAAGTCAGTGAGATCTCATCTCAGAATAAAGAGTAAAAAAGGGGCTGGGGGGCTGGGGCTGTGGCTTAGCGGCAGAGTGCTTGCCTAGCATGCATGAGGCATTGGGTTCGATCCTCAGCACAACATAAAGAATAAACAAATAAAATAAAGGTATTCTGTCCATCTACAATTACAAAAAATAATTTTTTAAAAAAGTGGTGGTGGAGAGGCTGGGGTTGTGGCTCAGTGGTAGAGCTCTTGCCTAGCATGTGTGAGGCACTGGGTTTGATTCTCAGCACTGCATGTAAATAAATAAAATAAAGGTCCATTGACAACTAAAAAGTATTTTTAAAAAAGTAAAAAGGGTTGGAGATGTAGCTCAGTGGTACAATCCCTGGTTCAATCCCCAGTCCTACCAAAAAAAAAAAAATGTACTTCTATTTATCAAAAGTTTGATACCCCTTGATATTCAAATGGTTAGGACCAGAAGTGTTTCAGATTTCAAAGTTGTTTTTTTTTTTTTTTGGAATATTTGCATAGATATATATCCATAAAGTTGCAGATTTACAGAGCATTTCAGATTTCAGAGTTTTGTATTAGGAATGCTCAGGAGAGTAAAACAGGAGAGTTGGAGAATATATACACATATATTTTTGTGTGTATATATACTACAAGAGACTATCCAGAATATATAAGGAATTATAAATCAAAAAGAAAAAAGATGAGTGGGAATTGTGGTATATCTGTAATCCCAGCAACCTGGGAGACTGAGGCAGGAGGATCATAAGTTCAAGACCAGCCACAGAAACTTAGTGAGGCCCTAAGCAACTTGGTGAGACCCTGTCTCAAAAATAAAAACTAAGGCTGTGCATAGTGGAGAACACCTGTAATCCCAGTGGCTCAGGAGGCTGAGGCAGGAGGATCATGAGTTCAAAGCCACCTCAGCAAAAGTGAAGCTCTAAGCAACTCAGTGAGACCCTGTCTCTGAATCAAATATAAAATAGGGCTGCGATGTGGCTCAGTGGTTGAGTGCCCATGAGTTCAATCCCCAGTACCCCCMAAAAAATAAATAAATAAATAAATAAAACTAAAAAGGGCTCAGGATGTGGCTTAGTGGCAAAGTGTCCTGGGTTCAATCCCCAGTACCAAAAGAGAAAGGAAGAGAGAGAAATAGGCAAAAGATCTGATACTTCTCTTTTCTTTTTTTTTTTCTTATTTAAAAAAAAAATGTTTTCCCTTTCCCAACTTTATTTTTGTTTATTTAATTTTTTTATTTTTATGTTTTTGCAGTGCTGCGGATCAAACCCAGGGCCTTGAGCATGCTAGGCAAGCACTCTTCCACTGAGTTATACCCTTACCTGCTATTTGACAGGCACTTTTCAAAAGAAGATTTCCAATAGACAATCAACATATAAAAAGATGTTCAATTTCTTTGGTCGTCAGAAAAATAGAAATTAAAACCAAAATGAATATCAGTACACACCCATCAAAAAGGTTTATATTAGTAAGACAGAAGGCAATGCCAAGATGGAACAACTGGAACCGTCACACACTCCTGGTATTGAAATCTGACTTGGCCCTGTTTTCAAAAATTCCCACCACATACTCTCTACTCCTGCCCCAGGGCAGGCCCAACCCCACCTGCTGCCCATTTTGCAGTCCATGATGGAGGGGCCCTCAAAGTCTGCCAGTAGATCTTCCATCTGGTTGAAGGCCTGGCCATCCCTCTGCACCATGCCATAGTAAGCTGGCACAAAAGGCCTCAGGGGGTCTCCCATCAGCTGTTCCAGGCTCTGCTGCTCACATTGACAGAAACGTTTCAGAATCCGACCATCCTCTCCTGCCTGGAAATTCCCTATGGGCAGCAGGACCAATGAGAGGGTCAGAAACTGGATCAGAAAGAAAATCCCTGCCCACCCCCACTCCCATCTCCCTGTATGCATCAGATCCAGGTCACACACAAGAGGGTGTGTGTGTGACCCTCCTGCAATGCTGTCTCTCTTCCTCCCTGTGACTCTTTCAATCTTGTCCAGGAGTAGTCAGGGAAGAACCTATTTCTGCTCTCTGTTGCTTAAAGAGAGTCCTATACACAGCAGTGTGTCCTCATTTGTTTTGTAATTTTGGTTGTGAGTTCATGATCTTCTGTGGGAATTTTGTGAGATCTGAGTTGAGAGCATGACTTTCTAGAGATCTACAGTTGCTTCTGCCTAGAGTTCCCAGATGCTAACAACCAGGGCCTACTTAAGTTAATTTATTTATTTATTCCCACATGTTTTTATTGGTTTAAGTTAATTTATAAATCTGGTGTTTCCTGTATCATAGATAGTATAGGCTAGAATTCCAAATTTTTTTAAAAAAATTCCAAATTTTATTGTGACAGTATGTTTAGATTATGTTTTCCAAAGTGGACCATGACAACATCTYCTCTTCTGCCTAAGATATTTTACTATCTGGCCCTTTATTAAAAGTGCTGTGTGCTAGGCACTGAGTTTCTATGTGCTGCAAGAATTTGCTAGGTCCTGGGAGAAAAACATGCGGTTGCTGTTTACTGAGAGCCCACCATACTCTGACCATGGGGACAGGGCCAGGAATGATAATTTGCGTTTGTGAGGAGTCTGTATCCCCATCTCTCTATATATTTTATTTTTGTTTTTGGTACTAGGCAGTGAACCCGGGGTCACTTAATCACTGAGCTATATTCCTAGCCCCTTCTATTTTTTATTTTGAGATGGGGTCTAATTAAGTTGCTTAGAGCCTTGCTAAGTTGCTGAGGCTGGACTCAAACTTGTGATTCTCCTGCCTCAGCCTCCAAGTTGCTGGGATTACATGCATGCGCCACTGCACCTAGCATGTTTGGGTTTTAACTCTTCAGTTCACCTTTCAAGGGAGCCTCCATATTAACCAATAGGGAAATTGAGGCCCAATAAAAGAAAGTAACATGCCCAGGGTCAACTATGAATAAAGAACATAACTAAGATTTAAATCAGGCCCACCTATCCCAGAATTGAGGTTCCACCACCCACCAGAATAATAGGGAATCACTTCGCCCTGACATACAAATGCCCAGTCCCAGGCCCAAGTGCTTTTGGTAACAACCCCATGAGATGCAGACTATCACCAAGCTCATTTTATAGGTAGAAAAACTACCTATAAAACTACCATGCACCTCTACCCAGCCCTGCCAGCCCACCAACCCACTCTCACCAGCATGTCCGGAAAGCTGGACCCAAGGGTAGTGTTTACGGAAGGAGACCACGAAGGGTGAGTACTTCAGAACCGTCTTCAGCTTCTTCCATGGTTTGCTCTGTGTGGAGCAGAGCAAGGGTGGGGTCAGGGCAAAGCTAAGCAGAGGACGGGCTGCAAGAGATGAGCAGCCAAGGTGGACCTGGGGTCTTGCCAGGGCCCGGCGGCTTTCTGGACTCACTGTTCCCAAGCTTGCTGGGTGAACCCCACTCAATTCAGCAAGCATGAGATCTCCAGAGGCCTCAACAAAAGTAGGGGAAACCCCTTGTCTCTCTGTCACCACTTTCTTTGTCCTTGTCTTATGAGTAAGGACAGGCTGGGTTTTGTCACTCTAACAACTGCCAAATCTCTTCCCTGCCCCAAAACACGGAAGCCCCATCTCTGCCCCCTAAATCAGGTCAAATGATAGAGGTGGAGTGAACAGATTCGGATGACCACAGAGACCAAGAAACAGTGACAGATGACAAAGTGATGACAGAAACAGAGACTGCAGTCATGGGAGCTGTTCACCAGTAGCTCCAGTACTTCCCCTTCCAGAGATGTCCCTGCCCTCTTGAATTGAGGTTATTGACTTGCTTTGGCCAATAAATGGTGAGCAGAATTATCATTTGGGATTGAAAACTTCAGATGCAGTTCACGACTGACTGTGTTCAGTCTCCTGTTGAAGGGAAGAGGGGCAAAGAGTGGAAAGGAAAAGTTCCCTCAACCTGGACCCCTAAGTGAAGACAGCATAGGTCAGAGCCCCTCACCCACCATTAACCTGTGGCATTGCATAGTATGGGCAAGAAAACTCTTCTTTTTCTAAGTTACTAAGATTGGGAACTATTTGTTACTGCAGCATCCTGATTTACCTGACTAACTCAGAGACAGGTACAGCATGGCAAAAAGAGAAAGAAATATGGAAAGGCAAAAAGAGAAACACAGATACAAATGCCAGAGAAAGAAAAAGATGGCAGAGAAAGAAAGACCAAGTGTGTGTGAGAGAGAGAGGAAGCAATAGAAAACCAGAGAAGGGCTAGTGGTTTAGTTCAGTGGTACAGGCAGTGTGACATATGCACAGGGCCCTGGGTTTGATCCCCAGCACTTCAAAAAAGAAGCAAACAGAAAACAGGATTTAGTTGTATCACACTGCCTTAACCAAACTCACTCACACTCTCTCTCTCTCTCTCTCTCTCTCTCTCTCTCTCTCTCTCTCTCTCTCTCTCTCTCTCACACACACACACACACACACATCCCACAAACACTCTCTACCCCAGGTACATATCAGTCCTTAGCAAGTACTAGGAGAATGGGTTGCCTCCAGAGAAGGCAGCTATGTGGCTCATTCCCCTCCCATCTCAGAGTCAAGGGCAAGTTCGCCCCACCCCTCGGAGCCCAGCTACCTAGCAGACATCTGACAGCAGGAGGGCAAACAGCAAGTCAGGGTGTTGGACCTTGGGATCCAGGAAGGCCTATTCCCTCTGCTGTGGAGGAGGTGATTAATCAAAGTTCCTGTTTACTAAGCACCTGGAACATTCCAGGCACAATAACAAAGACTCAGTGTGCCATACCCTATTTAATCCTAAAAACACAACCCCAGGAAGATCATTGTCTGTGTCACAGAGGAGGAAACAGACGCTCAGAGAGGTGAAACCAATTACCTAACATCACCCAGCACAGTGCTGGCGATCTGGCTCTGGTCTGACCTCACTCCTCTAGCTTATTCACTGCACTCCTGCTGGACAAGCTCATGAGGGCAGGGAGCAAGGCGCCATGGCCATGACTGTCCCCAGCACATGGCATGGCACACAGCAGGCACTCCAAAAACAAGTATCACTTGGAGGTTAGTTGAGACTGCTTTTGTGTTTTGTTTTATTACAAATAGATTAAGCATCTTCTCTCTTTTCTTCTTTCTTCTACACACACACACACACACACACACACACACTCTTTTTTTTTTTTTTTTGCAGTGCAGGAGATGGAACCAGTGCTCTACCAGAAGTCACATACCCAGCCAGCCCTCTTTCTTTTTCTCTTAGGTCCAAGGGCTAATCTGGGCTTTCTCAGAGGTTTCATGACACCTCAGCTCACATACCCTGCTCCAGGAAGCCCTCTGATGCTTCAGGTCTGGCCAGACATGCTCTCTGGGTACCCACACTCCCCTGGGCTTCCGCCATCCCAGGCCTGATCACTCTATCATCCAGAGATCAGTCTGTTTCCTCCACTGGCCTGGCCATGGGAGCCCCATGAAAGAAGTATCTTGGCCACTGCTGTGTCCCCTGCACAGGCAACAGAGGACTAGATATATAGCAGGATATCAGGGAAGAACTGCCATCAGATTAGGAAAACAGGATTATGGGAAGGAAGGAAGGATGCCTTTAAGGTCTGACAGGACTTCAAAATTGAGCGAGAAGGAAGCAAGGGCATTCTGGGCAGTGGGAACAGCTTGAGCAATGTGTAGAGGCAGGAAAGCAGCAGGGTGCTCAGGGGACACTGTGTGCTTAGGCTTAGTTACAGCAGAAGGGTCAGGAGGGGAAAGGGATGCAAACAGGGGAACAAGTCTGAGACAGGAGRCTCTGAATGCACGACTGAGCTACTGAAGGTTCTGGGGAGCCCCAGGGAGCCCCAGCAAACACAAACAGGGAAAGCATCTGGTCAGAGATGGGCCCCAGAGGCAGCTTCTGGAAAGATAAGGAAAACTGGACATAGGGAGGTCTAGAAAGAAGGCATGTTAGGGACAGATCCACACACCACASGGGTTACAATGACAGGTTGGAAATTCAGCTAGAACCGAGTTAGACACTAGCTTTGATTTGACTTAGCAAACCCTAGGCGAGTGATGTCACCTCTCTGTGTGTCAGTTTCTTCATCTGCAAAAGGGAGACAATAACAATCCCAATCTTCTAGTGCTGTTGTGAGGATTCAAAGAGGCAACACAAATAAAGCACTTAGAATAGTGCCTGGTAGAGCTGGGTATGGTGGTGCACACCTGTAATCCCACCTACTCTGGAGGCTAAGGCAGGATCCCAAGTCTGAGGCCAACCTCGAAATTTAGCAAAGCCCTAATCAACTTAGTGAGAACCTGTTTCAAAATATTTTTAAAAAATTGACGGGCTGGGGATGTGGCTCAAGYGGCACTCGCCTGGCATGCGTGCGGCCCGGGTTCGATCCTCAGCACCACAT